TATATATATATATATATATATATATATTGTTTTTTTTCATTTTAAAGTTTAGTTTTTCCTCATTTCAGAACTCGTCATTGGCGTTTCTCCCTTGTTGAGGTTGGGATAATGCTCTGGCTATATCCTACTCCAAGGTGGTGACTATCTCCACATAATCCCTCGCCTATTCCCCTCCCTGTCTCGCTGTCATCGTCGCTGCACCACTCCTTTCCAAGACCTACTGCAAGATTTTCTGAAGATCTTTCGTTAGAGTGAGAGCAATAGCTAATGAAGCAAGATAAAAGGTGAAGAAGTTTGACGGTCTGAGCTTTGCGTTCTGGAAAATGCAAGTTGAAGATTTACTGTGTCAAAAGAAACTATATTTACCACTGGAAGGAATTAAAAAGAAGCTTGAATCGATGACTCTGAAATAATTGGAAGTACTTGATCGAAAATAACTAGGTTTGATCCATCTTTCACTTCACTCATTTGTTGCTTTCAGTATTATGAATAAGAAAACTATGATGGATCTCATGACCACTAACAATGATGTACAAGAAGTCCTCGCCTTCAAATAAAATTTTTCTAATGAAGAGATTGTTAAATATAAAGATAGTGGAAAGTAGTTCAATGGTTGGACATTTGAATAATTTCAACACTATGAAATGTGGGCATCAAGTTCGATAACAATGTCATGACATTGTTAATATTATCTTGATTGCCAGATATCTGCGATGGATTAATCACGGCGGTAAGCAATTCTTCAGGTGATATGAAGCAAAACTTTGATGACAATGTAGGGTTAGTGTTGAATGAAGAAGTTCGCGAAATGACGAGGGGAGAAAATTCAAATTCTGCATTGAATGTTTAAAATAGAGAAATGAAACTGGATAGAATCAGAGGCAGGGAAAGATTCAAGTCCAGATGAGGTTAATCCATGTCAAAAAAAGAGGAAATGGCAAAGGTAAATGTTAGAACTACAAAAAGAATGTCATTTTAAGATTAAGTGCAAAACACCGAAGAAGGTTAGTGGTGGATGTCAAGATAAGAAGCTCTCTACAAATGTCCTCACAAATGAAATTTAAAGTGACTACCTTATTTTGTCCCTAGATAGTATTGAATCTTGAATAGTAGATTCAAGTACATTTTCTCATGTTTGCACCAGCAAAGAGGTGTTTAAAAAATCACTCTTTTCCGAAACATCGTAGTTTATCTTCTTCACCATTGAAATTCTCTTTATGGAAGGGATTCAAATCCTCCTCTCTTTCTCCGCAAGCCTCTATCAAAAATGATTCATCGTATCTCTTCCGAGGTAGACACAGGCATATAACTTCTTGGTGGCGTGGTTAGGGTTTGGGATTTATGAAAATGGAAAGAGTATTTGGTGGTAGGAAAGAAAATTTTTGGTTTATGACGGATGTTAGGAAACCCTAGGATAGGACTAAAGAAAGACTAGCTCTAATACTAAATGATACCAGAGTCAACCCAAACAAAGACAAAATGACAAATAAGTATTGTTGAAATTCAAAAGGGATTACAATAGTGACACTTGAACCAATAGAACAATGACACAAAACCAAAAATAAATGACAAACAACACAAACAATACCCAGGAGTGAGGATGACAATGTTGGGTGGTGCCTGAACACGAGGAAAGGCAGGTTGAATATGGTTGTTGTGGTTGATGAGTAGTGCGGGCTAGCAACAAGAAGTGCTGTAGGCAGGGTGCGGTTGAAGCAGGATTGACCCTGGGTAGAGGTCAAAAGTCATAAAAGTAGGGGTAGGTGTTGAGCGGCAGCTTGAGAGGGTTGACCTAGGATAGTTGGGAAGGAGATATGGTAGGTTGAGAATTGGAGGTGAGGTGTGATAGCCGCAGGAAAGGGTGGGAGGAAAAGAATACGACAACAGTAGGTTGTGGGGGCAGATTCCTGAAACAGTAGAGAACCAGGGAAGAGGGAGGTTGCGGAGGAGGGGGAACGTTGAGGATAATCTTCACCTCAAAGCGAAAGACAGTTGAAGCACCACTCATCCTCGGATACAGCCCTAGAAATGGTAAAGAGGAAGTTGACGGTTGTCCCTGACAAAAATCGTAAATCAAACTCACAAAACATGATCTTAATTCCACAAACACAAATATAAATAGAGATGGAATTGGGGGAGAACTAAAAAGGAAAGGATGTAAGGGGGAAAAGCAATGGGCGACAATTTTCAGCCCCTTAAGGAGACCAATCGGTCTAGCAGGAGGTTGGACCAGGATAAAAGCTAGCTGGTTTAGCCAGCCCCCGCCTACAGAAGGTTCAATCGGCTTCCCTAACTAGCCACATATCAATGCTTAAAGAGAACTTTGATCGTGGTGAGTTGGCTTCCAAGATCAGAGTACATGACTACTCGCAAGTGATTCATGGAAGATGAACAGAGGGTCAATGATGATAGCTCAAGACAACATTGAAAGAACTCTTTATTGATCAATGAGACGACAGAATCCATTGATACAGCTAGACCGAAGATTGATGCAGGTCTTTAGCACCGCAGTCTTGGTCATATGAGTGAGAAATGTATAAAGTCTCTACTTTCCGAAAATAAGTTTTAGGGTTAAAAGTCTACAGAGTTAGATATTTGCAAAGATTGTATTTATGGCACTACTTTCTCCAAAAGTGGGTTAAACGTGAAGTTCAAAAAGTTGTAGTTAGTGCGTACAGATGTATGGAGCCTCACTCCAGTTTAGTCTATTAGAGACTCTCATTACTTTGTCAATTTCTTAAAGCATAAATTTGAGTTTAATGTGTTCAAGAAAAGGAAAGTCATGGTTGAGAATGAGACAGGCTTGAGGTTGAAGTGCCTCAGATCAGATAAGGATGACGAGTATTATGATCAGATATTCAGGAGTTATTGTGCTTGAGAAGGGATTAGGCAAGAGTTCATTTTTCCAAGAATACCACAACAAATAGTGTGTTTGAGCGCATAAATAGAATCATCATAGAATGTGCTAAGACTATGAGATGCATGCAGGCTTTTCAAAACAGTTATGGATAGAAGCAGTGAATATTGTAGTTTATTTGATAAATCGTGATCCTTCAATATTTTTGAATGAAAGCTTATCTGAAAAAGTCTAGAGTGAAAAGAAGATGAATTTATCTCAACTGGTGCAGGATCTAGAATTAAACTTAATTCGAAATCAATCAAGCGCACTTCATTAGATATGACTTAAACAAATTTGGATCTAATTCTAGGATTATCAAAACAGAAGTCCATCAGGAGCAAAGATGTCATTTTCAATGAAATGAAAATCTACAATGACAGAATATGAACACAGAATTGTCCATCAGTTAATTTGAAGAGTCCTCCAAATATGTTGAGATAAAAGATACTAGTGACAAAAAGGAAGGAGAAAGGAGAGATGTTCAATTTGATGAAGCAAAAGAAATTCTTCAGTCACCTGCTATTGAAGTTAAAAACTCGAAGGAGTGGGAGTTGTCATGGAAGTGGTGAACTAGAGTGCTATGAAAAAACCACTAAAGTTGAAGACCTAAAGGAGTGGGAGTCTGTCATGGAAGATGAGATAATGTCACTGAAGTCAAATCAGACATGGGATTTCATAAAACTACTAGATGGCAAAAAGGCACTACATAGCAAGTGGATTTACACACCAAAAGAAGAGTCAAATAGTAGTAGGTGCTATAAGGCAATGCCTGTTATGAAAAAGTTTCAGCAAAAGGAAGAGGTGGACTACCCAGAGATATTTTCTATTGTAGTAAAGATGACAAGTATTAGAGTTGTGTCAAGTTTGGTAGAAGAAGAAAATCTACATCTTGAGCAAATGGATATAAAGACAATCTTCTAACATGATGAGTTAGAAAAGAAATTGTATATGGTGCAATCGCAGGGATATGAACTTTCGGGTAAAGAAGACATTGTTTTGTAAATTGAAGAAGAAAAGCCTTTATGATTTGAAACATGCCCCAAGACTGTGGTACAGAAGGTTAGACAGATTTATGTCAGATAGTGGGTACATGAAGTGTTAAATGAAATACTGTTATTTCATCAAAAATTTTAGTAATTGTTCCATTATACTTCTATTGTATATGAATGGCATGCTAATTATGGGAATAGATATGAAAATCAAGGATTTGAAGAAGCGCTTATCAAAGGAGTTTAAGATGAAGGATTTAGGTCCAACATGAGAATCTTCGATATGAGAATCAGCGAGAACATGAGTGCAGTTACAGTAAAGTTGTCTCAGATAGAGCATGTAGAGAAGGTCATACATAAGTTCAACATGAGTAAGATGATACCAATTTGTACCCTCTTAGGTAGTCATTTCAAGCTAAGGAACTATCGCCCAAGTCTGAAGCAAAGCAAGCACATATGAAAAGAATTCTATATGTTCCAACTATAAGAAATTTGATGTATGCGATGATATGTACGAGATCAAATATTATACATGCAGTGGGAGTGGTTAGCAAATAAATAGGTAATCCAGGAAAACAACATTGAGAGGCGGTGAGGTGGATTCTCATAAACCTGAGAGAAACAGTCAATGGGACACATTGTTGTGGAGGTGCAAGAATTAATTTACAAGGATGTGTAGATTCAGATCTTTAATTTAGGGAACACAACCGTGAATTGGGTTGTCAGGTTGCAGAAGATTATAACACTTTTAACTACATAAATTGAATACATTATTGCCATTGAGGCTATGAAGGAGATGAGTTCGCTACAAAACTTTATGGCAGAAGTAGATAAGGAGCAAGGGATTAAAAAGGATCATAGTGGCAATATGAGTGTTATTCAACTAACTAAAAATAACGCTTTTCATGTCATGACGAAACATAATCAATTAAGGTATCACTTCATTCGGTCACTTCTAGAAGATGGCAGTTATTCTTGAAGAAGATGCCTACAGCTTAGAATCATGTAGATATGTTGATTAAGGTGGTTACGTTACATTGAGAAACTGAAGCTATGCTTGGCTTCAATTAGAGTTCAAGAAGCTTGAGACCAGAGGTGAGCCACACTATTGTACATGACTATTAAGGTGATACAAATTTGGAGGTGCAAGGTTGGGTGCAATTACTCTCCAAGTGAGAGATGATTATGTATAGAGTCTGATTGGGCCTAGGAAAAGCGCCCAGCAGTTGCGAGGCGCTTGGTGGCAGGGTGCCCCAGCACCTGATGTGGCACCCTGATGACAGTAGGGGCGCCCAAGCACAAGAAATTTGGCGCTTTGGGGCCCAAGTTCAAATCGTTCGAAAAGGCAGCTCCAAGGAGAGATGTAGCGGAGTCCACGAGCACATTTTCAGCATTCCAGAAAAAGAGCATCCAAAAATTCAACGCTCATAATAGACGATTCAGCACCAGAAACAGTTCGAGCAGTTTAAGCATTTAAGTCCTCGATACGGAATTTGCAGTGATCTCTTAGCAATGCTGAGCGAATAGAATGAAGCGGAGTCTGCAAGTTGTGAGTATATTTCTACAAATTTCTCTTGTGCAATCAAGAGAGATCAAGAGAGAAGTGTTCGTGATTTTCAGGATTATACAGAGGATTTAAGAGTGGTGTAATTTGTATATTTATCCTCATTTCATAGAGAATTTTGTGGTGTGATGTAGCTCGATGGTTTTTTCCAGTGCTAAGGTTTTGCCACATTAAATCTTTATGTTCTATTTTATCGGTATCTTATTTGTATGCATATGTTCAATTGTTTGCTTTGGATTTCTCATATCAATGTTTTTCCATAATTCATGTTAGTGAAAATATTCCTCCCAACATTACATGGGCATCAATTATCCCTTTTTGATAACTAGAATTATCTCAAGTTTTATAGCCTAACGCAGATGAAGCCACCAACTTCTAAATTTTTTCTTCATTTTTCAAACTTTGACCAGTGATACCAAAGTTAACCAACAAAAATGTGAAAAGTAAATATTATTATTTAATTCAAATAAAAAATTACAACCAACCAAAACAAATTATAAAGTTGCAACTAACATGACACTAACTCCCATTAGGGTTGGATCAAAGGGGAGTGGTGGTGGTCAATGAGAGTCTAGAAGGTTGCTAGGTGGTGGAAAAGGGGGATTGACAAGCAGAAACAACAAGGAAGCTGTTTCCCAAGTTCCCGAACAGCAAGCAAGCAGCGAAGATCGGTGTAGAAGGGCTGTCATGGGTGATGATGGAAGCAAGGAGGAAGGTAGCGACGGCATAGGGGAGGCGGCTAGTATTGAGTACTGAAGTGGAGGCTGCTGTCCAGAGTGAAGGCAGCAAGCCTGGGTGGCTGGACCAGCAGGGAAACAACAGAAAACACGGTTCTAGGCAGCAGCAGCAAATGAAGGATGGCTGGATGGTTAGGAAACAGCCAAGGAATACACATGGAGACTAGAAGGTGGCAGCAAGGTGGAAGGGGGAGGAGCGCGGTTCCTAGAAGGCAGCAGCAAGGTGGAAGGAGCGGGAGACTGATTCTGGAGGGCGGCAGCACGGTGGAGAGGAGGAGAGCTGGTTCTGGCAGGCGCAGCAAGGTGAGACTGCAGAAAACAGCCAGGAGGCGCCTATTCTGGGCGGCTGCAGCAAGGATGGTAGACGGGGAGCAATGTGGGAAGGATGCGGAGGAGCAGACGAAGGATGATCACCACCTTGGGAGCGAGATGCAGCCAGAGCACCACAGACCCTTGGATACAGCCTTAGAATGGAGAAGCGGAGACGCCTGCAGCTGTCCCCAACAAACACAAGCCAAAAACTAAAAATCAAAACACTAATACAACATATATATCCGTGCGGACATGGGATCACGCGATCTCTTGCGCTCCTGCATCACCAAGTTTCATACCTAGTAGAAATAAATCCTATACCGCTAGCATGTAGCACAATTTTTGTCTCTGGATCACCATTTTGCTACAATGAGCTTTTAGTATACGTTTTGAAAGAAAATCAGATGCATGAAAAAACAAAATAATAATCCATACATTATAACCACAAATTCAAATCCGATTAAGAAATTGGTGAGAAAGACAACGGTTATATGAACGTAGGTAATTTTTGTTTCCTCACAAAATTAGAAATGATGTAGTAAAATCTTGAGCAGACCACTTATAATTTATTTTAAAAGAAATATTTATGGTTAATGATAAATTACAGAAGAATTGGAAATAAGATAACTTCAACAAAATATCTACACGCAAAAAAAAATTGAATAGAATAGCAAGCAAAGAACATTAGGAAGGTGACAAAAAGTAGAAAATAAGGAAAATGGACGCCAAAATGAGGAATCAACAGCTTTAAAAGCACGGATTTCTTATGCTTCCATTATTAATCTCACATCAATGACAACATAGCTCAAATACCACGAGTCGCATATGCCACTCACATGCATATTTTATTTCATTTTCTAGACACATTATAGATTAAAAAGCACTAGACAGATCGTCAAACACAACAAACGCGAATGAAAGAACAAACAATCATGCAAAATTGCAAACATATATTTATCATGAGTGACAACGTTTGACCTATATACACCAAAGATATCATTTATTTTAAGGCATGCAAAAAAGTGATTTATTCAAAACTACAAGGTGTGATAGTGAAAGATTAATCTTAAAAGATGGAAATATGACATTTTATTGGCTAAAAAACAATAAATCATTATAATAACATAAAAAAACAAGTAATTTAAAACCAACCTTATGGTGATGCACGCTATTAAGCAAGAAAGTGTAATTACGAGCAAGCTTCATCTTTCGCTCAACTTCACATGGATTTGAAAGTTTATCATTCTTCCTAAACTCTTGGGTAATGAAATCCCTGAAGTGCCCTTTGCTTCCACTTTTTCCAATATGCTTCTCGACAACTTTGAGAAGTTGGCGATAGACATTTGAAGCTTGCATGGTCTTCAAACTCATTAATTTAGTTATCTGGAGAATATGGTAATATGGAAATAGTTATTTGCTAGCAAAGGGAATATGCCTACGTATTTATCTGTATAAGAGTACCAATCTATGGATGCAAACAAGCTTATTTATATAAGCAAAAGCTAAGAAATAGAGGCAAATCAAACAACTAATTTAAGATGTGTATGGTCGATGCACTTAAATATATTTGTTTCTCACTGAAATAACGTTTTCAAGCTGGTGCCAAAATACAAAGACATATGAAATTATGCTTCAAATTATAACAAGATATAAAAAGCATGCATTTTCCATATAGCTAATGCATAAAGCATAAGTTCAGCATAAAAACCTAGAAAAGCTTCAAATCCAAAGAGTTCATAAATCTCATCTTGTGGAATTCTGAGTTTCCTATTTTAGCGCTATTTTCTTTTATTCTCTTTTTGTTATGTCACATTTCTTTCCTTCTTAAATTAGTTTATCTTTGGTAAGGTTGTAATTAAGCGTGCCCTGGTTGTTCCTTATTATATAAGAAGAAGAGTTGTAATTTGATTATTGAGAAATAAGAAATTATGATTTTCTCCACCATAACTCAAGGTATCAAAGACAAGTTACAAACTCTAGCTCTCCTTCCTTAGGCGTAGCCTCTCCTTCTAATGGATCGTCTGTCTACAGGCAAATCTCTCATTCCCTTTCAGGCAATTCCTTCTCTCCTAAACGGTGCTAATACTTGCTCAACGGTTCTCTCTAGTGGAAATCCAAAAAGTCAGCCTACATAAAATCCCAAAAATCGACCTGCATAAAGTCCCAAAAGTCGGCCTGCATACCTCCCCGACTCTTCCTTCAATCAAAAATCTCTCTCGCAGGCCCTCCTCCGGATTCTTCCTGCGAGCCTTCCCTATTAACATCTTTTGCCACCAGGTCTACCCTACAACACGGTTCATTCCTG